TTGTACTTGGACAGATAATCAGAATGGTCAACAATCAAGTATTGACAATGTTAATTGGTCACGTTTGTTTGAACTACCAAACCAGGTAATTTTTAAATTTACACTTGTACAACCCAATGTCAATGTTACATACAATCAGTCATTTTTGTAACACAAGGGTTACAAATAAGAAAATACTAAATAAAATATGCAAATTTATAATTTAGTTCCATAACTGTATGAAGCACCTAAGACTTAAATATACCAGAGACATATAATACAATTGTATTATATGTCTCTGAATATATCTACTGGGTGTATCTGTCTGTCTTTTGTCCAAGATAGTTGGCAGATATATAGGAATAAAAAGAGATGTAAGGTTATTGTAACACACCTTTGAGAAAGTTATTCAAACAATAATAACAAAAACACAACACAACACATCTAGATATTCCAAGTTCTAAATCATTTTTTTTCAAAGTGGTGAAGATCAAAAGATCTGCAATTAACACCAAATTCTCCCAATATAAATGCATACTTCTTTTACCTGTGTATATGTATTAAAAGAAATACCAATGAAAATCTTAATTAAAATAAATGTTTAAAGATTAAACTTTTAATTGTTTAAATAAGAAGAACATTTTATGGGGGAAGGGGGATGATTCACAGAATCCCCTGGCCTACTCCCTTTAGGAATTATATATAGAGAGAGACTTTTTACAAGTCTAGTCTCACTTTTTTTTAAGGATCCTGGACCCATATCTGACAATTATTGCAATTTTATTTACTTTGCCTTTTTTTACTGCGATTATTTTCCTAAGCTGATTGGATAAAATACCATTTATTATGGTGACAATTAAGGATAATCAGGGGCTGATCCAGCCATTTTTAAAAGGGGGAGGGTCCCAACACAGGATAAAAGGGGGGTTCCAATTATGTTTCCCCATTTAAATGCATTGATCATTCAAAAAAAGGGGGGTTTCATGTGAAAATAATTTTTTTAAAAGTAAAATAAGATTTTCAATGGAATATATGTCTTACAAGGTATTAGATGTTAATAAACAAGTTTTAATTTTGATGTTAATTTTTTTCAACTTGGACACAATTAACTTTTTTTTCATGTGAATTTCACATGAAAAATTTAACGTAAAATTCATGTGAAAAATTTAACTTAAATTCACCTCAACAAAATTTTCCTGTGTAACACATGCGTTACACATGCGTTTGACTATACATGTGTTACACATGCAAATATCGCATGTGTCACATGCGTTTTCCAACACATGCGTGACACAGGTGTTTTTCTGACACATGCGATTCACATGCGTGTATTACGCATGTGAACGCATGTGTACCACGCATGATTCACATGCGTGGCAAGAAACATGTGTATTGCGCATGTGACACACCTGTGACACATGCGTTTTTAGATACATGCGTGACACATGTGTGGCATTTTTGCCCTAGTAGAATTATGAATAAAAAATAAGGACATTAATTCGATTCGATAAGTGATAATGATTTAACCTGTCTTATTTCATGAAAATTTTGTTTTCAAAATATCAAATAATCATTGCTAACAGAATTATTAATATCTTATATTTCTGCAATGTGAAATTTCATTGTATATCTAGACAAATTGCTTGGCAATGCTTAATCCATTATTAAGTCTTTACCGTTTAGAACAAATTTGCGTTTTTTCACCGAAAAAATTTACAAATTCAATCAATTGTAACTTTTTTTAATACTTTATATAGGATTATCGACTAAAGCTTTTATAAGGACCAGTTTCTTATTTTACATTTTAAATATTTTTGCATAAAATATTTGCATATTTGGTCATGTGATCAGTCGTGGGATATCACGTGACTCACGAAAAAATTGCCGAAAATTGTAAAAATGTTAATAACGAAGTCATAATTTGAAGATACAACATGGAAAAAGTGTCAGAAAAGTATGAACAAAACAAAGTTGTGTATTCCTTTTAAACAACTAAGACGCTTGGGTGCTACATTTATATGCAAAACTTAAATTTTAATTATCCATCCCGTCATACGGTGCTTTTCGTCAAAATTCACTTGTCTGATTGACAAAAATAGCTCAATTGTTAAAGTAAAATCACTCGACATTTTCCGCCCCTAAAATTACCTCAAAATCAGAACCCAATGGCTTTTCGTCTTTCGCTGATGTCGTTTCTCTACGAAATCGATTTTAATGGATGAAGTAAACAACTATAGACGACCTTAGGCGAAAGATGGGAAAAGAAATTGACAAGACACAATGTGTGTTTCTATTTGAATTTGAAATTAAAGTCAAGTCATTTGATTTGGAAGATAAATGTTTCAATTTGCATGATCATCCTTGCGGGGTTTGAACCATGATCGCTCTATTATCGGCAGAAGTTTCTGCTTTATCTTTATATTATCAGGCCAAGGTGTATCCCCTTCGGCTACGGCAACAGGCTATAAATTATTCTTTAAAATCCTATTGTAGACGTTGGATATTTCAGTTTCTCTTTTCTCATGAATGACATCGAACTGCTGCAATAGAGAAAAGGGGGATATTTACTTGATTTTTTTGTCTTGTTATTGAGATAAAGACAATTTAATTGCAGAAACTGTATTGTATAAAGAGGTTATAGAAATGTATTTTGTTTATGCTATTTGACCTCTGGAATTATTGTTTTGACTTTTTTGCCTGTATGAGAAGAAATTTTTGAGAAAATTTCACTGAAATACAGTCACATACAATTTTTTTATAATTACTGTTCGTCTTCGTTTTTTAGAAGCTTTGAGAGGAAAATATTTATTTTAAAGCAAAACGCACAACTTATTTTTAAAATATTGATGGATAATTGCTTGAAACGTTTCTTTTTGCCAGACTACGACATTTGCATATTATATATAGCTAGCAACTCTTGAGATCAACATTTATTTTTTTTCTTTAAGATTTCTGTCGTATTTTTGAAAAATATAGGTATGAAAAAGGGTGAAGGTTTGGTACCATTAAAACGTTTAAACCCGCTGCATTTGTTTGCACCTGTCCTAAGTCAGGAATCTGATGTTCAGTAGTTGTCGTTTGTTGATGTGGTTCATAAGTGTTTCTCGTTTCTCGTTTTTTATATAGATTAGACCGTTGGTTTTCCCGTTTGAATGGTTTTAAACTAGTAATTTTGGGGGCCCTTTATAGCTTACTGTTCGGTGTGAGCCAAGGCTCCGTGTTGAAGACCGTACTGTGACCTATAATGGTTTACTTTTATAAATTTTGACTTGGATGGAGAGTTGTCTCATTGGCACTCATACCACATCTTCTTATATCTATGATAATTGTTTCATTTTTCTCGCAAGAACAACTTTTAAGGACACAACTGCCATTTTAACAGGTTTAAATTAAGCCCTCGGTCTGTATATAGTAAAATAGCCAAGTATTTGAGGTTTGAATCCAAATTTTAGCAGACAAAATGCTGATGACCCGAATTCGGGTCCTAGGAACGTTAAACAGATAAAGTAGGTAATAAATTAACTTGAGATAAGAATACTTTATCAGAAGACAATTTCCTAGAAGAAACTTTACTGCTTGTGGATTATGCCCCGAGGACATCATTAACTTGGTAGCGCAATGCATGATAATTAATACCAGTATAAAGAACAAACAGACTAGGACCTCGTGCGGGTTAACAAGGTCCTCTTCTGCTACACGGAACACTGTACCATTTGATTTGTGTAAAAGACTTTCCTCTGTGTTAAAGAAACTGTTTATCCTCGGTCAACAGTTAAACATACATGAGGGGCCTGATGGGTTATTTTCGTTCTTCGTGATCGGCGCATTTTCGCTATCGTGATCCGTTTTTCCAGATTTTTTTTTTTTTTTTTATATTTTCGTGATCCGTGATCATGGAAATTTATTTTCTGTGAATCGTGATTGACAAAAAAATCAACTCGTGAATCGTGATGAGACCCCCCCCCCCCCCCCATCAGGCCCCTCATACATCCTCACGTAACAGACTCATTCTTAACTCACCACGTATTAGAAAAAAGAATTACACTTTTTGCAAAAATAATCAGCAACAACCTCATTTTGGAAAAGTACACATACTTTTTTTTAAAATAAATAACAGTCTGACATTAACAGAAAGAAATCCGAAATAACATTATCAAGGTACTCGATGTTTGGATTTATGTGGTGCATGTACGTTTTTGTTTTGAGTTTTTTTTCTAACAGACAGCCAGTTTTCCTATGTGAACTATCTACTTCGTTTTCCCGACTCTCTGCATGAGAGTCAGACTGAATATATGGGTTTCACATGAAGAAAAACAAAGAAAAATCTCACGAGTTCCGTTTTATTGATGATTTCCTACAAAGAACTATTCAAATATAATGAAAAGGAGTGTTTGGAAAATATCAATTAAACTACAACGGAACTACAAGAATAACACAATATAATGAAATAATCATGATTTTTTTTCAACAATAGCCAAGTTTATGAGGAATTTTGCTATCTATTTTGTATATAGTCCCTCCAAATCTGAATAAAACCTTTTCTTCAATATTATCAACTTTTGAGCTCTGTCCTAAAGCATGACAACTTGAATGATAACGGGTTTGAAATGAAGGAACACATTAGTGGCATTTATGGAAAAAGGAAAAGCATGTGTTTCTAGTGGTCGAACCGCAGATGAGAATACTTCCCGTCAAGCTTATGGACTAAATCTACTACTAGGAATGTTCACATCTATCATTTCCGGCGTAATATTATATATCAAAATATTCATGTCTCAACAATGATTTAAGTTAGTGACACAATCTCCTAGTATTTAATGTATTTGTTTTAAAGAACAATCGATTCTTCATTGTATCGTATTTACACAATTCCACTATCATGATGTAAAAGAATTAATATGTTCTGTTTGTGATGTAAATCAGACATTGGAGAGTTTTGTAAATATTTAAAAAATAAAAGATAAGTATTCTAGATGAATTTTATAAATTTCAGAAACTTTTTTATGATTTATATAGATTTTCGTATCCTTCAAAGAACAGAACATTACAGATAGTTGTCCAAACAGAGAATTTGCCAGTAGGAATAGCTGTTGATTCAGCCAATGATCATATCTACTGGGTTATTCAATTTGGAAACAAACTTTCAAGATGTAATCTAGACGGAACAAATGCGACTGTTTTACCAACATTGATTGAACCCTGGGTGATACGACTTGATGTTTCAAAAAGGTATTACGTTTTATGAAGAAATTGAACAAAAATTTATTAAAAAACAATAACATACCGTATTCTTAACTATATGTGTGAATAGTTAGATACATGATTTTTAGTTAGTTGTTATTGACTTTGAACTAGCTTTTAGTAATTGCGAGTACTCTTAGATTGGTACGTTGTGTCTTCAGCCTTTTTTTGAGTTGTTTTTGTGCTTTGTGTCGATATCAAACCTATATTAGTCTGTCCGATATTAATGATAATATATGCACATCTTAGCATGTTATACGTGTTTTATTTGGGTCTTCCACTTTCTTGTAAATGAAAGTAAAAAAAGAAAAAAAAACAAGCATTACCAATGTGTCACTTTTACAAAATGTCCTTGATACATGTTTATATTAATAAAAGTCATGCAGGTTTCTTAAGTTGGTTTCCATTAAACATATTTTGTTGTGCTACGGCCATATTGTATATCTAATTAAACCAATCATGTACATCCCATAACTACTTTTATTCAAATAAGCGTTATTTTAATTTTGACATGTATATGGGATGTCACTGTGGCATCACCAACGGCGTTTATGTACTAACATTACCAGTTTTTATTATCATATTGATACTAATATTTATTTGAATCAAGGAACGGTGCACTAAAATATAATAATATAGTCTTGGTGACTTCTTTTTTTCAGTAATAATCATGCTAAATTAGGCCTCTGTTTTGTTGTTTTGGATGTATAAACCATCAATCTCGCCCGGTCCGAACTGAATAGGGAATACAATGTCTCATTTATGGAAAGTATCACATTGTTTTTGAAGATGAACCATTGCGACATCGACCTTATAGGTCACTAGGTGTACTGCTGCAGAGTCAAGTTTAAGCCGGATCTAGTATATTGGTTTCAAATAACTGTTCAAATATACATCATTTATCATGTTTATACAAGTCGAAAAACATAGGATTTTCTACCACAAAGATAAATTACCTCAGCTGCAATAGGCAAAACGTTTGGGAATTTTGAGCCCTCAATGCTCTTCAACTTTATACTTCAATTGGCCTTTTTAACTCTTTTGATTCGAGCGTCACTGATGAGTCTTTTGTAGACAAAACAAGCTTCTGGCGTTCAAAATTTTAATCCTGGTATCTATGCTGAATTTATTTACATCCACTGGGTCGATGCCACTGCTGTTGGAGGTTCCCTCCCCGAGAGAATTACTTGCTCTGTAGACGACATGAATTGTCATTGATATGATCATCATTATAAGTAACAGTAATTTACAAAATTTTAAATTTTTCGAAAAATACAGGATTTTCTACCCGAATATAGATTACCTTAGCTGTAATATGCAAAACCTTTTGGAATTGTTGGTCCTAAATGCTCTTCTGCCTCTTACTTTTTTTATTCGAGCTTCACTGATGAGTCTTGTGTAGACGAAACGTGTAACTGGCGTACAAATCTTAATTCTGGTATCTATGATTAGTTGTTTTACAACCACTGGCTCGATGCCACTGCTGGTGCAGGTTTCCTCCCCGAGGGTATCACCAGCCTAGTATTCCCCATTTCAGTGTTGACATAAATTGTCATTTATATGCTTATAATTATAAATTAACAGTTTACAAATAAAATGTTTCGTAAACTCAGGATTTTCTACCACAGGAATAGATGGCCTAAGCTGTATTTGGAAAAAACTTTTATTCGAGCGTCACTGATGAGTCTTGTGAAGACGAAACGCACGTCCGGCGTAAAAAAATTTAATTCTTGTAATTCTTTGATTTATGATGATTTTATTTACTACCGATATGTCGATTCCACTGCTGGTGGAGGTTTCCTCTCCTTTTATATTACCACCCCAATTGTCAACACTTATGTATTAACATGAAATGTCAGTGATATGGTCATAATTATAAATTTACAGTAGTTTACAAAATTTTAATTTTTTCGAAAAAAACCAGGATTTTCTACCTACATATATGCATACATTACCTAAGCTGTAAATGTTTTTGGTAAAAACCTTTGGGAATTTCGGGTCCGCAATGCTCTTCAACTTCGTACTTTATTTGGCGTCACTGATGAGTCTATTGTAGACGCGTCTGCCGTATAAAATCTTTGTATCTTTGATGCGTTATTTTCAACAGCTGCATTGATGCCACTGCTGGTGGATGTTTAGTCTTCTGGGGTATCAGCAGCACAGTACTCATCACTTCTTTTTTGACATGCATTGTCATGGATATAGCCCTAATCTTAAATTAACAGTTCACAAAATTTCGACTTTTTCGGAAAATTCTACCCAGGAATATATTACCTTAGCTGTATTTGGCGAAACCCTCGGGAATTTTGGGTCATCAATGTTCTTCAACTTTGTATTTAATTGGCCTTTGTAACTTTTCTGATTCGAGCGTCACTGATTAGTCTTTTGTAGACAACACCCGCGTCTGCCGCACACAATTTTAATCTTGGTATCTGATGGGTTTATTTACAACCACTGGGTTGATGCCACTTCTTGTGGAGGTTTCCTCCCCGAGGGTATCACAAGCCAAGTAGTCAACACTTCTCTGTTTCAATGGTCATAATTATAAATTAACAGTTTACAACATTTTGAATTTTTCGAAAAACTCTTTTTTCTTCCCCAGGAATAAATTATCTTAGCTGTATATGGCAAATCTTTGGGAAGTATGGGTCCTCAATGCCCTTCAACTTCGTTCTTTGACCTTTTTAACCTCTTTGATTTGGACAAAAAGGACGTCGTGGCTTACACAATTCTAATCCTGGTATCAACGATGAAAATACACAAACACACGCTTATCCTGAAACTTCAATATTCTAAAGTTGTCAAACTTTTATCTTTCAGGTGGATGTATATAGTTGAAGAGAATATAGGAATATCGAAATCTAGATTCGAGTCAGCTGAAAAACAGACAATCGTGAACTTTATATCAACACCTGTTCGATGCATGGATATAGGTACGTTGTCACTAGTTATCGTTGATGTAATGCTAATAAAATGTTACAACTGAGCATGTTGTTCATTATACGATACTTTATTTATATTCATCTATGATCAGTCCAAATGTATGTCTATATGTGTAGTTATCTTAATGAAAATATGTTTGACAATGAACGTACAAGCCTTCTTATGTTTAAAACAAAACCCAAGAAAACAAGTAAGGATATCAGAGGACATTACTTCTGTTGTTTATGAATAATTTTTCCATCTATTTGGCTTTTTTATATTGTAGGGATATATTATTATGAGCAGTTCAGTAACATGACCATAGAAAAGCAGACTAATGTTTGAGATTTCCAAGAAAGCAATAAATATTCTAATTAATTGTGTAGTAATGCTGCTATGTAGAACTGACGTTTACGTTCGAATCGGGAAAAAAATTCAGACAACAACATATATGAGAAACTATCAATTTTGTGAAGAAGAAAAAAACACTCATCTAAAAAAATTTCAGATTCATCTTAATTATTTACACATGTTCCATTTGTTAAAATTTGCCAAAATGCAGGCCTTACAATTTTGTTCGTGTCTCTTTGTCTTTGTAGCTGTTAACAACATATTTATTGGTCATGTGCATTAATATGATTTGTTATTACTATATTTATCGATTATCTGCATCAATATTATATATATCAAAGCACTGTTCAAAGTAGGCTAAATGATTGACAAGTAACTCATTCCCATCATGTCCTTAGTCACTAAGACCAACGGGTCCGTCTAGGCCAGTATTTAATTAAGACAAACTTGAACTACGTTAAGGCTTATTGATATTTTAAAATATGTCACACTAAGGGATGATTGTCTGACATCCATAAATCTTAAAGATACATATCTAAGTATTAGTATCAAAAAGAATTTTTCGACATACGTGCAAGTCAAAGTTTGTATGTTTTGGTTTGGATTCTGTGCTAAGAGAGGGTAATAAAATTTGGAAGCTTGTCTGTTCATTTTTTAAACAAAATTTAAAGATTTATTTTATATATTACTGATTCTGTTATTATTGATCAGAACTTCGAAAGGTGTATGTCAATTATAGGAAAGCTGTACAGAGACTTGATGCAATTGGTTAAAGTATAATCAATTTGATTTGGTGTACTATATTACCATTTGTTTATTTCAAATTGTTTACCAATAAACCACTGTCAATTTTAAACTCGTCTTTGATGATTAGTTCAGAGTCCAAATTGCAACTTCTGCTACTTTGTTTTTTCTCCAAACTTATGTTATGCAAACGTTCGGAGGACACTGCGAATATCTTTGAATACATTTTTAAAACAATTTCATCAATTGCAAGTCTCTGTACCTATCTTAGCGTGTGTTACATATACAATATTAAGAATGGTTGGCAATGTTTTCCCAATTAAGAAAATTTGTAAGTCAGAGAAAACCATGTCATTTTGTTATACTATCAGATATAAAAAAAAATATGCAGTATCGTTTAGTAGCTAGCCATAAAACCAGGTTCAACCCACTATTTTTTTCTTAAAATGTCCTGTACCAAGTCATGAATATGGCAGTTGTTATCAAATAGTTCGTTTCTATGTATGTTGGCGTTTGTTTTTGTTGCACTTCAGTGTTCCTGTTGTTCCTTTGTTTTCCTCTTATAGTTGATGTGTTCCCTCGGTTTTAGTTTGTAACCCGGATTTGTTTTCTCTCAATCGATTTATGACTTTTGAACACTGGTATACTACTGTTGCCTTTATTTATTTTAGACCCTGATGAAAACAGACTGTATTGGATTAATTACAATGGTGACATGAAATCTGCCAAAGACGATGGCTCTGATGTTAAAACAATCCTTTCAACAAATGTTCGTAGAAACTACTATGCCATCGGTGTCTTCGGTAGTTACATATATTATACTATTAGCAATCAGTTGTTAATGGAAACTAAAACACCCGGATTCACATCAACTGTTCTGTATAACGGTACCAGCTTGATTACCAGTATATTTGTGTTTAATCAATCAGGTATGTAAATAGTCATTTATAATAGCGTTTAACAATAAGCAAACCCATAAATCGACTTGGGTTAACACTTCTTACCAATATCATATAAGATTATTATACACACACATGCTTAGACATGGTAGAATGGTATTTATTTATACATTACTAGTATGTCATAAAAAGTAAAATAACAAAAAAAACGAACTCCAAGTAAAATTCAAAACATAAATTCCCTTATCAAATGGCAAAATTAAAAGCTCAAACACATCAAACGAATGGAAAACAACTGTCATATTCCTGACTTGGTACAGACATTTCCTTATGTAGAAAATGGTGGATTAAACCTGGTGTTATAACTAGCTAAACCTCTCACAATTCCATTATATTGACAACAATATATGAGCAAAACCAACATAATAGGTAAAATGTCAAAAATTTGGGAACAGCAGTCATTGTGTTATCTTAATCACAATAAAAACAAATAAACTACTCTACAATTGAACATGAATACTACAATATAAGTGGAAGAATTACGACAGACACGGTTAAAGTTATTACTGCAACACCCGTCATTAGAATGTGTTGTGATCAATATGAAATTAAAATCAATGTGAACACACATTGAGATCAAATTGAAATATGCATACATATTTGTTACCATATTCGTACAATGAATAAGACTACATGTTTTCGTTTATAATTCTGTATGTTAAGTCACCAAACATGTGTAGTAACGTATTTTTGCCTTTTGTGTTTTGAATATGTTTCAATCATATGATATAAACGTCTGTGAAAGCATACCAACATCATAATTGGCATTAGAAAAGCCGATGGGCTAAAATGATTCCCTTTGCACTCAGTTGTGAAGTGTTATAATTAAAACACCAGTACTTAGAATTATAATTGAAGTCAATCTAGAAATATTTTGTTTTTATATTTCTAAAGACAGCTTATCATGTATTGATGTCCTACATGTGTTTTATTGTTTATTGTGAATTGCTAGTTGCTTTCTATTTTTTTTCATATTCAACTTTTATTTCGTACATAAATAGCGTATAGTTATTGTTATTAACCAAATGTACATGTTATTTTCATCCTAACGTTGCCATCAATGCTTTGCATGCAAATTATTAATGCAATGTTATTATTTTATACGTTTTATGTTGTCTTCATAGATAAAAACGCATTATCATTGAACACTTTTTTATTTGAATTAATTATCTTCGTTTTCTTTCTTTCATTTCTTAGATTTACTCAATAATGTTACTCACTTTAAATTCATTATTGATTATATGATTTTTTAATATTATAAATGCTTACAGTGTAATACCTGTCATTATTGTTAACGAGAAAACTATTTACAAGACTTAGGTTTATAAAGTAATTTAAATTTTCAAGACTGAAATTGTTATTAGTGAAATTGTACAAACACGAGGTAAGTCATTTTACCTTTTCAGTCTTTATCAATGAAATATTCTACTTAGCCCTATTAGTGTTGAAATAATTTGATATGATTGTCAAATGAGACAACTCTCCGCTAGAGATTAAATGACAAAGCGGTTTCTTTTTTTTTAAATTGAATATCATTAGTTTTTTTAAATCAATTTCATTTACCAAATCCCGTGGTTCGTATATTCTGAAATGTCTTTTTCTAAATTTTACAAATGACTTTCTTTTCAACGTCGAAAAACACGCGAAAAATAAAAAAAAAACAAAACTTTTAGAGATATAAAAACACTTTTTTTTCATTTTAATTAATTTCGCTTGCGTATGATGCAGTGACGTCAATACAGGACTGACTTTAGGGTGAGATGTACATCCATAGAGGCACTTATTAAATATGGGTAAAAGGTATTATGATAAGGTCTTGAATATTTTTACATTTTTGTAATTTTTATACGACCGCAAAAATTTTTTTGGGGTTCGTATAAGGGTATCATGTCGTCGTCGTCGTCTGTGTCATCGTCGTCGTTCGAAGACACATTTAGTTTCCGGACAATAACTTTAGTTTAAGTGAATGGATCTCTAGGAAATTTAACCAGAAGGTTCAATACCACAAAAGGAAGCTTGTGATTGATTTTGGGGGTCATGGTACTAACAGTTTAGGAATTAGCGGCCAAAAAGGGGCATTATTTTTGTAGTTTCCTGACAATAACTTGTGTGTAAGTGTATGGATCTCTCTGAAATTGTACCACAAGGTTTCATATTTCAAAAGGCTTGGATTGAGTTTTGGGGTATTTGCCCCAAACGTTCAGGAATTAGGGCCAAAAAAGGGGCCAAAAACAAGCAATTTTCTAATTTCCAGACAATAACTTGTGTTTAAGTGTATGGATCTATCTGAATTTGTACTACAAGGGACCATACCACAAAGGGAAGGCTGGGAGGATTTTTTATTATTTTTTTTTTTTCTAATTTTTTTTTCATTTTTACATTGATTATATCAGACGATACTTCAAATTTTTACGATCTTTGACCACATTTATTTTGTGTCAGACCTATATTATGTCAAAAATTTGACCACAATCCAAATTCAGACAGTATCAAGCTTGAATATTGTGTCCAAACTTGCCCCAACTGTTCAGGGTTTGATCTCTGCGGTCGTATCAGGCTGCGCTCGGCGAAGCATTTTATTGTATCATGTTACCAATTAATGTTTGATCACATACTATAATAGTAAATTTGTTCTTTTGTCGATGCAGTATATAAATGTTGACAAAAAAGGAAAAAATAATTCAGAAAACTCATGACTTATTGCATATTAAATCATCTGTAAAATATAAAAACATGATATATTGGCATATGTTACACGCGACATATCGTAAAAATTATGAACAAAGAGCGATCAATATAATAACAAAAAAACAGCTTTTGAAGAAAGGCTAGACATCGAAATGAAGTCATGTCTTCCAGAAAGGTTATACTGGCAAATTTTATATGCAGCCTGATGTTTAGTTCTTATCAAAATACAAGTAAATTTGCGATATTTTGCAACAGTTCAATTATATGTGAAACATATGATATTTTTAATGTTAAAAACAAACAAAAAATGTTGAATGGCATTTCGATTTATATCTATCATACACAGTCTTTGATATTTCCTTGCCATCAGTTTGGTTTTTCACAATTGAGAAATAATTGAGTTGTCTCTCGTTTTTTTTAGCCTACATCATGTCAAAATTCTGGGCATATTACAAGATGGAGTTTTCCTTTATTTTGTTTACACTGCTGAAGTTTAAAAATCCATTCTGCATTACAGTCACTAACATTAGAGTGCAGGACGGCAAGAGTTCAAAGAAATTCTTTGAGCACTACTTTTATCGGCATTCTATATTTATCATGTGTGTTTGTTGGTACTTTCATTTTATTATATACTATAGCGCTATTTTGGTGTTTTCTTTACTGATAAGTGTTGGTTTAAAATAGGGGAAGTCTCAGATATATATGTTATAGATTCGAATTGATTACAAGCTTGACATATTGAAAAACACCTGGTTGTTGTTAACAGTATGTTGACATCGTTATTGTGTTTTTGTGTCCTTGTGTTGTTGTCTAATTGACGTTTACCCCCCTTTATTTATATTCAAATGGATAGATCGTTGTGTACCTAAACTTTATTTTTATTTTAACAGAGTAATATTTAAAATAAAAACACCGGAGAACAAAATGACTATTTAGTGTTTATCATAATGTGAGTCAATACAACAAAATCCGCCGGAAAAATTCAACTTCATAAATGAGAAATGTACACCATTCTATTAGATTGTTGAATATTGAATATTTGGTATTTGTATTCCTACCCGCAAGATCGTTTGGTTCTGATTCGACGTTGAACAATTAAACTGAGCATTTTGAAAATATTGTACAGTAATCAGGACTTGCTGATAATTGTTGCTGTAACATTTCTGTTTGTCTATTATGATAGGTTTCGAGATACTATATGGAACACGGAAATTGGTTTTCAGAATTGTCAGGTCAATAGCTGTACGGAGACGTCTGATAGGTTAAATTTAAAAGTAGGTAGAGGTTAACAATCTTGTCAATATTTTCCTTGTCGTAATTTTCTTTTCTTATATGTGTTAATTTACGTTATATAATATTTTAAGGGTTTTCATATCGTATTACACACCGAGAGGGGACAGGATTGATAAAATTAAAGACTAATAGTAGGGAGGGTTTTGTAGCAATCCCGACACGTCAAGGTGTTATACGACAAGAAAAACCTTAAAATATGTATTATCTGACTTATAGGATTTGCATCCTATTTTACGAATCACGTGAAAGTGGGATATTCTAGTCTAATGCGTTTAGGTTTTAAGACGTCCTATAGCTCATTCATAATGTTAAATAAAACTCGCTATTTAGCTAGATATAAACTTTAAAATTACTTTCCAGTTACAATTCAAATATTACTGTAATTGCATAAAGCAAGAAACAAATCGTTTGTTACGTTTTATGAAAAATACAAGTCACTTTGTACATGTTGTAAGTAATTCATTGTATTAAATATATGAAAAGGGGATGTTATGCTTTTTCTCGTATTTCATATTACATATTACAAATAAAGCTATGCATTTCATTTTTATATACTTTGTTTTAACTGCTTGTTACTATATTTTAGGACGATATACTAAACCGCATGAATTGTTGATAATTTTGGATGCCGACATCAATCTATCGAAACAAGGTCAGAATTTTGCCAAATTGTACATGATACATCACTATATAAATTGTAACCGAGGTAATCAGCTCAGATTCACTTATCTTTTACTATCAAATAGCACATCATTACCAACTCTTGTATTAAGTAGACAGTATCTCTAAATCAATCATTATTATTTGACAAAAAAGAATAATATCGACGGAAAGTAGACGTAATCGAGTTATATTTCATTGTTTTGTATTATCTTTGTATAAAGGCCTGGATCTTTAACCTTCCCCAACAAGTGTTAAATCATTAAAACTTCCCACAATGCAGCCAATTAATAATTTGCGAAATACATATTTATAAATGATCGGATTTAAAATACAAAAAAAAACACAACATATTGTATGAATGCAACTAAATTCGATGTAACCAATTTCGAAAAATGCTATACTCTTTAGTATTTAAATCCTTAATTTGGAAAATGGAACATGATGGAAACAGTTTTGCTACAAATAAGAATTTACGTTAGTACTTTTAAACAATATGCGTGAAATCTAAATTCACTGGTGACGCTTGACTAATGCCCGTGACATTGAATATCAAACATGTTTCTTTTTTTATTGTAAGTCAAACTGAATTGTCAAAAAACTGCAAAAAGTGGTTTATGAATCCAGTAAGTTCTACTATGTCAACGGAAGACACTTTAAACAAATTTTATTGACTTCATTAATATGAAAAAAAGATAAAAAAAAATTAAGTGGGAATAAACATAAAATAACGTAACCGAAAGTACTTCAACCGATGAAAGGATAAGACATTCACATTTTTATTGTAGTCAGGATTGCACTAAGAATTTATAAATTACACAATCAAATAAAACAATATACCCATACTCTTTCAGTAGACAATGATTTCAATTTCATCAATATTGCCACAAGGGAGATAATATGTGGTCCATCATGACATTTCCAGGCTTATTTAAGAGATAAGAACATCGGTAAACTACTGTCGCCTTAATGCATCATCTAATGGCTAGAATATCTACTGGTGAACAGTACTTTCCACGATAATTTACCAGCCTGGTAGCTTACATGCATGGCAATTATTAGAAGAAGAACCGATCAACTGGATGACGCGTCGTCCAGGATAAAATGATGTCAGCAGGGATGTTGTCAAGGACACAACAACTCCGAAAGAAATAGGTGGCCCTAGGATCATTTATAAAAAAGTTCATTAGAACAAACTTGTTCTGTCTTCGAATTCCTCGTTTTACTGCCAAAATTCAGACAAGTTTATGTATAGTCGGCCATGAACTTTACAACTTTCAGATAAATTAGATCAACACAATTTATAGTCTTTAAAACTGTACATACTTTGTCTTAGTTTTCTATGTTGTGTTTTGTGTACTATTGTTTGTCTGTTTGACTTTTTCTTTTTTAGCCATGGCGTTGTCGGTTTATTTTTCGATTTATGAGTTTGAATGTCCCTCTGGTATCTTTCGCCTTTCTTTTGTCATGAATTTTGCATGAATACTTATGTTTGAAAAAGCGAATGACAAAAGCTGTCATGTCACTTAAATAGTAAATAAAATTTTTATCCCGATGAAAAAATAGCGTAGCTGGAAAAAAAACAAAGCTATACAATTTTTTTAAAATTATCACCATTTTTGTAGCAAGTCAGTTCTAGATGAAAATATCGTCGAATATAAATACATATAGAGAAAATCATCAATCAAACATTCGTAAGTTTTAAGAAAATACACTTCGCAAAGTTAAATGAGCTTCTTTGATGCAAATCTTGATTTTGTTATTCAATCACAAATTAAGCTGAGATAAATGACATATTTCACGTCTTAAATCATTTTTCTTTGGTTAATAAGATAGACTTATTCTACATATATGTCCCTTCTATGGTAAAGAATGCACAGTATCAGGATATCAAAGAATTTCAAAAGCTGCTATGTCTTCCGTCGTTTGCTTTAGAGGAAAATGGGAGGCCTGAGATGTAAACAGTTATCGCTTTTTGTGTAATTTTCCTTTGATCTTTTTCCTATCATGCTATTCGCTTGAGATAGAAAACTGTCGCTATAAACTAACTGCGCACGTGCTGTTGTCAATGTAAACATCAATGACGTTATAGGCAAAAGAGCGATAAACAGATTATCAATGGTTTTTCATACTCGAGGATGTTTCTCGGCAACATTTCATCTCAGGGCTGTCGCCATTCAATGAGATTTAAGCTGAAAAACATCCTCTCATCTGAAAATCCATCGATAATCTCTATATATTGAAGACAACACCAAATACAAACACACGACTCCTCCAAAATATATTCGTACTAACAAACAACACATGGCCATGATAATCTGACATCACGGCCGCGTGCAGTCACAAGATATGGTTGAGTTAAACCCATATCACGTTACTACACCGATCAAGATCTAATATCGTAAAATTAAACACACACAATAAAAAACATGCAGCTACCAGCATGATGACTATCAACTTGAACAAGTAAATAATTTGGAAAGAATTATTAAAGCATCAAGCAAACGCGTATATTAACTTAGTTAAAAGTTTTATTAAGAAAATGAAACGATTTGTATTACATGATTTTACTGTTAGAAAATAAATTGTTTCTTGGTATTAACCATAAAGATATTTACTTATTATTTGCAAATGTCTCTCATCATATAGCCCTATTTTGGTGAATTAAAAAGATATTCCTGTTAACTTGGTGTAAGCCTTACAGCTCTGCACTTATTTGAGCATTTATAATGACAGTTTCATCAAGTAGAGGTGATTATTTCATTTATGTATTTCATCTTAGGGACAATTATCCTTGGAAATCGTTCCTGTTCCTGACAAGTAGATACACGACTTTAATTCTCGGACTTTGATTATTGTTTATATATATAGTTGCTTTTCCTTTCATTTATATTAACAGTTATACATTCTTTAATCGTTATTATATTTTAGAAACTGGCATCAGGAATAAGAAATTCTGGGAAATTTTTCTTTTCACTTTAGAATTTTATACTGAATTTTTCATTATTCCTTGTGTTGATGTGCTTTTGATGTGGACACAATCTGCAAATTCTGCAACATCGATATAAAAAGAAATTAAAATAAGATATGAAGAGAGCATGAGTCAAAAGTATCAAATATGCAAAAATTATTCTTTAATGTTATCATGATTTATGCAATGAAGTAGGAAAAGAGAATAGACTAGATTTTCTCTTTTTCAAATAGAAATCGTTGTATATTAACTGTATATCTGTATAAAGGTACTAAAATGTATCTTTATTCGTTTCAAAGTTTAGTATAATAAAGTATAGTCATTATTAATATATTCCATTTTAGAGTTGTTTTATTTCTTTTTATGATTGTATGTGATTGTATTTTGTATATGTTTACCTCTTGTTTCACATGTGAATGTGACAGAGTGTTTTTAAATAAAGCATATTGTATTGTATTGTATTGTATTGTATTGTATTGTATTGTATTGTAAAGATGTATATACACATTTATTATATCTTATATGCATATTAACAGATGCACAGTTATTTTATATGCATCTCAACAGATGTACAGTTTATTTGCATCTCAGCAAATGTATAATCTTTACAAATAAACAGTTTATATGCATCTTAACGGATATACATCAAGATTGCTTGTACTTAAGTTACTGTGTGTTACCCGGTTTAGCTTTTTATGAGATAATGATTGGTGTCTGAGACGGTGTTCTGAGATGGGGAGAATGATTATCAGTATTATCCTGATTTTGTGACTGAAACCAGAATGGCCTATATAAGTCTTAGTTTATGTTTTTTATTGTTTTGTTTGTTGTATATGTTGTTGCCTTCTTTTGAGCGTGTAAGCTACTTGTTCTTTGTGCAGATTGCGGTTTTTGTTTCAATACTTATAGTGATTTTTTGAAAATATATATAAGTTTGAAAATGAACTTACCCTGTTTTGAGGGATGTTCAAACAAGTATTTCCGTTTGATATAGCCTCCTAAGGTTATGTTTATATAATAAAAGATCTCTTTGTATATATTTTCTAAACATCGTACTCATGCCTAATGAAGGTAATTGAAGGTATGTGTACCAATCTTCCCCAAAACATTGGTAGACACTGGTGTCCTCCCCGATGGACCGTGACATCCACGGTCCTGTAGAAGTAGAACTCCTGTAATGTCGTAGCCATTTGTATTCTCTTTGTTTACTAAGTTATTAGAGAATTCACTCATCGAGGCGAAAGGAAGTAAGTGAACGAGAGAAAGAAATTGAGTAAGCGAATGTGAGAGAAAGATATTGAGTGAGTGAACGAGAGAAAGAAATTGGTTGAACGAGAGAATACGAGTAAATGAGTTATTGAGAGAACGAGTGTAAGCGATCGAACGATAGATTTAGAGAACGTAAATGAGTGGTTGTTCTTTTGAGTGTGTAAGCTACTGGTACTTTGTGCAGATTGCGGTTTTTGTTTCAATACTTATAGTGATTTTTTAAAAATAAATATAAGTTTGAAAATGAACTTACCCTGTTTTGAGGGATGTTCAAACAATTGTTTCCGTTTGCTATAGCCTCCTAAGGTTATGTTTATATCCTAACGCTTCGCGTTTTATACGTGAACTGGTTTAAACTATCTTATTCAACAAGCTAAGTGCCAACAGAAACAAACAAAAAATTAAATTGCAATATATAAAATCTTAAAATACCACAAAATATCAACTTTATATTGTAATAAAAGATCTCTTTGTATTTATTTTCTAAACGTCGTACTCATGCCTAATGAAGGTAATAGAAGGTATGTGTACAAATCTTCCCTAAAACATTGGTAGACACTGGTGTCCTCCCCGATGGCCCGTGACATCCATGGCCCTGTAGAAGTAGAACTCCTGTAATGTCGTAGCCATTTGTATTTTCTTTGTTTACTAAGTAATTAGAGAATTCACTCGTCGAGGCGAAAGGAAGTAAGTGAACGAGAGAAAGAAATTGAGTAAGCGAATGAGAGAGAAAGATATTGAGTGAGTGAACGAGAGAGAGACATTGGTTGAACGAAAGAATACGAGTAAATGAGTTATTGAGAGAACGAGTGTAAGCGATCGAACGATAGATTAAGATAACGTAAATGAGTGGTTGTACTCGACTGAGTGAACGAGAGAGTAATCGTACAAGAGAGTGAGAAAAAAAGACAAAAAGTGTGAAAGAGAGAGACACAGTGAGTATGGAATGCGAACAAGTGACTGAGTAAAAGAGACAATGAGTGAGCGAAAAAGAGACTGAATATAAAAGACAACGAGTGAACGAACAAGAAAGTGAATGACAGATTGAATGAACGAGAGAATGAGTAAACGAGAGAGACCGCGAGTGAGCGTGAAAATGCAAACGAGTAATTGAATGAACGAAAGAGAGAGAGAGAGATGTATATAAAACTGTAATATACATTTTTACGGATGCACTTTTTGTATATGCAACTTACCAAATGTACATGAAGGTTGCTTGTACTAAAGTAGCTGTGCACATACGTTACATCCTCAATCGATCAGGTATCACTTATTATCAGGGGCTTGTAATATTTACATAACTGATAACAAATAATAATAATAATAATAATAATAATAATAATAATAATAAAAGGATTGATACATGACATAGAATGCATTTATTTTGTACAAAGTATATTTGTATAAGAAATAAACTTTTACGTCAGTTTGTTACTGGGGAGAGTTTTCTCATTTGCAAACATAAAACTTCTTCTTATTTTTATATTATATAGAAAAATGTTTAAACAATATTTTATGCGTGCGTTTGTAGTTTTTAAAATCATTATAAGCCAATATTTGTTTATTTATATCATCGATGGATTAGGTATTACTTATTATCAGGGGCATGTAATATTTACATTACTGATAACGAATAAGAATAATAAGAATGATATATGCAATTGAATGCATTTATTATGTCTTTCCACTTTCCTGTGGAAAAACCTTTAGATTCAGCTCCGGTTTTTTTTCCGCCACTTTTTTATGTTGTTTTGTTTTTTTGTTTTTGTTTCGGAAGATATCGAAAAGATTTTTATTACATGATATCGACAAAAATAAGGCTTTCGCAGTTGACCCTGTATAACCGTACAATTTCTCCTGTGATAGTTATCTCCCTGTACACTGTTTTCTTGTCTCTCCCTTTGCAACCGTAAAAGAAATCGACAACTTTATTATACCAAATTGCTCGTTATATCCTCAGGATAATTTGTCCAATTTTGACGGAAGCGATACGAAGACTCCATTATTTCCACTTCTGTATTTGACAAAAGTGATATTCTAATGTATCGCATGAATGGTAAGTGATAGAGACTTAAGGTATTTCGATTTGAGGTCCTTGGTTCACAAAAATGCATTTGAGGTCAAGGTCAAAGGTCAAGGTCATATTCTCAATTTTACTTTTTCTAGTTTTATGATCTCCTCTGAGACTCTTAAAGATTATATAAAAGAACTACTGCAAACATTTTGCTTTATTGTGATGAAGATATGATTTATTTGGTATGAAACAATCCAACGACATCTTGTAGGAGATATTGCCCCTGAAAGATTTTAATTTAAGGTTAATTAATTATTACTTCAACTTGGTAAATGATAAAGCCAAATGGTCTTTGCAAAATGTTGGATGACATATGACCTGGAAAAATGTTAACCGGAAGTAGACATTTCTTTACTAATTGCATGGAAAAGCACCTAGAAAACATATATACTTTACAAAGGCAAACATAAACTTATCATTTGAGACCGGAAGTGACCCTCAATGAACCGGAAGTAGCGTATTATCTCCCTATCACAGGCAAAAGTATATAGAAACCATATATATTTTTGGATTCAGTGTAAATACATCTATCATATGACCGAAACTGCAAAATCCAGTTAAGTTTTAAATTTTCTAAAACATACAATGCATTTGAATTTTATTTATCTAGGGCATGCTATACCTTAAAACTTTTCCAGATACACAGGTTTGTCTGTACTCAGAGTAAATTTTGAGGTGAAAATGCAGCCATTTCAGCTAAAGGGTCCACATAAACCTTAAGGTTCATCAGTAGGAATTGAAAAGTATGGCCGTATTTACACCACAAAATTTACTCTGAGTACAGACAAACCTGTGCACCTAAAAATGTTTAAAGGCATGGCAGGAACTAGGTAAATAAAATTTGAATGCATTTTATGTTTTAGAAAATTTAACACTTACCTCGAATTTGAGATTCCTTTTTTGTAAGCCTGCAGAAGGTTATAAAATAAACAGACACCCGAATTTCCTCAGTAATAGTTATCCCATGAGGACGCGGTGTGTCAGTGTAAGATCATCCCGATGGCCGGAGGCCAGAGGGTGATCTTACACTGACGCACCAAGTCCGAGTGGGATAACTGTTTTACATCCTAGCTCTTCTAGACCATATGAAAAAAACATTTACGCTTCATAACATCTAGTTCAGAATGCCATACAATAATTACAATATACTTTATATATTACTATAAAATATACCCTTTATGATGTAAACTTTCCTTTGGGATGTAAACTCATTTACACAGTTTAAATCGCCTATGGTTGTGCAGATATCTATTGTCCAGGGGAACATCTCAAACATTTTTTCCAAACATAGTTTATTTTGGCACCTTCTGTGGGAACGAAAAAAAAAGAAACCTTAAAATCCAGAAAGTTTATAATTCTCTGAAACATAAAATGCATTTAAAATTTAATTCTCTAGTTCCCGCCATGCCTTAAAACCTTGTGCACAGGTTTGTCTGTACTTAAGAGTAAAATATATGGTCTAAATACGGCCATATTAGCCAAAAGGTTATGTTTACCAAAACGTCTCCTGTCTCGTATTCGGGGGAGGGTGTCTAATGTGTTATACACAATTGCTTCTGATCGATCGGATTACGAACATTCACTGAATGACATTAGGCATCCTCGAGAGGCTATCTTTGCAAAAATAAATGACCTACTTGAAAAACAATCTTATGGTTGCGACCATGCATTAAAAGAGCAAGTGCGGATATTTGATTTTAATTAGATTGATTAGAAAAAAGTCCGTATTGTTGAGGATTCTGATTATGTTATGATATATAATACCAAAGACATATATTATTATATGTCTCTGATAATAGGAAACGAAACACGTAAATTTCCAGGTCTATAAATATCACTTTATTCAGTAAGTACTTTTAACCTTTTCAGTCGGTGGAAAAACCAGTATTCGTTAATAATGAATTTGAAGCCGATC